GGAGGCAAGAGAAAAATCAGACATGAAACTACCTTTCATTCCTTTCTTTTCCCCCTAAACAAATTCCTTCTATTAATCAAAAGGAAGACCATCGCACGGATGCTTCGAAAAAGGGGAATAGTTGGGAGCGTCGCAGTGACGTCAGCGCTATTGTCCGTCGGGAAGCCGCTCTGACGCGGCGCCGTCCGTCCCTCGCGCGCCGCGCTGATTTGCATGCCAAATCCAAATTAATTCACTTTGGCTGCGCCACGCAACGTCCTGCATGCTGATGCGGGATGGAAAGACACTGCAAGACTATTTTTTTTTTTTCCCCTTTTGTCACCATCTTTGTGCACGGAGACAGGACAATAAAGTTGCAGCGACACATATACAAATGGGGCCCTATTGTGCCGGTAAATAAAGAGTTCCTCCTCCGTGACAGGCCGGACGAGGTTTGACCTCCACGCTACCCGCCCCACCCTCCCCGCTTGCTTGACGGCCATCTTTCTTCCTAATTAATCAATGATATGCAGAGGCAAGGCGGCTCGCCGAGTAGGCGGGAGGGGAGGAAGCGGGGTGGAGTGGGTGTCTCGCTCAACAAAAGGTGCTGATGATGGAGTGGCTGCTGTATAATTAGTCCGCCGGAGCCCTCTCCACGCTGAGATTTTTGCTATTAATTGCGTCCGATGGAAAAAAAAAAAAAAAATTAATAAAAAGATGAGATGAGAGATGTTGTCATTGGGATGGAAGAGGAGGAAGTAGACGGAAAAAATATGTATTTTGTTGAAGTGACTCCATTTTATTTGGTCAAGTGGTTGCACAAAATCAAACCACCTGGCGACACGCCCACTTCAAAAATGTACCTGGAGCCAGAGGATTTTATTTTGTGCAACCACTTGACCAAATAAAATGGAGTCAATTCAACAGACTATTTTTTTTTTAAGTGGATGTCGTTTTTTTTTTTTTTTTTTAAAATATAGGTTGGGTGGGGTCCAAGCCTACCTTCCAAGTGGCTGCATTGCGTCTGAAGTACGCAAACGTGCGCGTGAACCAGCTGTAGATTTCATTCAGCGTTAACTGCATGTCGGACGAGTCCATGATCGCCTGGAATGAGATGACATCAAATAATGCTTTACTAACGACATGACACACACACACGCGCACGCACACACACGCACACGCACACGCGCGCGCGGACAGATCGCGAGCGCAGAGCCGCCGTGATTCATGCCGCAATTAATTTGAATCTAATCAGGCAAAGTTAATTTATTTCCCACTCACCTGTCTTATGAGGGTTGCATAAGTAAACGGTGGTCTGACATCTGCGTTCTTATAAAACTCGTAGTTTGGGGCAATCTCTGGAAAAATAAATACTGTGTCACCACCTGAAATAATTGGTAAATTTTTATTCCTCCAGGTATTGCACTGGCTCACGCTTTCATCAAATTAAAAGGAGAGGCTGAGGGGAGGGGGTGGATATTAGAGGGAGAGAAAGGGGAGGGGGATGGGGGGGGGAGGGGGGGGGGGGGGTGCACATCAAATCATCATTTTCCATGTTGAACAAAATGCATTTTTAATTAATGTCTCTCGTGAGAGATCTTAAACACTAATAAATCCATAAAATGAGATCCGCGCAGTTAGTTAGCCCCACGTTGAATAATTGATGGGACTTCACGTTAAACACAGCCAGTAAATACAAACATCAAAGGCGGAACATTTTTTTAAAATGCAAAAGTCAGAAAACGTCCTAATGCAATAAATATTGTATTTACTTGGCCATTATTTGAACTTCATTAACACTCGTGTAATATTTATACGCAGAGTCGGTTTCCTATTTACATATAGAGTGATTAAACACGGGCTTGCTTTTGATAAAGCCAGCAGACGTCCCGCTCTGTGCAGCAGCCACAAGCGCACCGTCGAATATATTGGGAATGAAAGTGAATGCGCTGCGTAGTTGGACCTACCCGACGACAGCGGCATCGAGTATTTGTCCGAATGGCGTCGACGCATGGCGCCCATGCTGGGCACGTTGGCGCCTCCTAGCACCGAGGGCACCTGGGGCATGGCCGCCATCGGGGTGATGGGTGCCGTGGGGGTGGTGGGTGTCTGCGGTAAGTTAGTGGGCGATGTCGACGGCAGGTTCTTGGACATGGTCACGCTGGATACCAAGTTGAGCTGGAAGAAAGACCGCGTCGTTACTGAGGCTCGTGCAAGAATTGAAGAGGATTCTAAATGATGTATGCGCACACGCGCACACACACACACACACACACACACACACACACACACACACACACACACACACACACACACACACACACACAAACACACTATATATGCAGGAATTAGCAGGGACGTTTAAGGCCTTTTCACACTGCACTTAGCAATGCACAGAACCCATTCATTGTCATTCAGAGGGGCTGGCGGAGTGATATCAGAGCACGAACGGCGATAAAGCAACCAACTCGCCTGACACGCAAGCAGTTCCAAATGTGGTCAAGCTCGCAGCGGGACGCTGGTATTGTCGCGCGGTGTGGGCAACACGGCGAGTCATTCCGCAGTCCCCGTTGTACGCGCGCCCTTCTCGCTGCCTGACGCAGCCGTGTGTTTCCTCGAACAAGGCTCGCGGAGAGGAGCCAGCCCATCTCGGCTAATTACAACCTCCAAATTGTATCACGCGATTTCTAATTAGAGCGCGCTGTTCCAGATTAGTCAACGATCAGCCTCGCCGTTATCGGGCACCATCTGGCTTTATCTTTCGATTTATCACTCCCGCACGGACATGAAGATCCACCCGACGATCATGTTCATGCAAAGCCACTTCTGGGATGTTCAGGTCATGGTCGTAGGGCTACTTTTGACGAAATCGGAGAGGCCATCTCATCCCCAAACTTGGTTACATTAACAAAGAGTGACTCAGTGACTTCATATGTCACTCAGCAAAAAGCATGAGTCCACTCCAGACGCGGCTCCACTCGCGACGGCTTCCCTAATTGTCCGTATTTTGCCTCCAAATCTCATGTGAGAGACTCCAGCCGAGTGGAAAAACGCCAAACTGACCTTTCCGTCGCGTCGCTAATTTCGGGCCGGGAATGGTAATGACATCGTTACATATTCAAACCAAATTGCCTTAATTGTGAGTCGACAAGTGGCGACGCATTTGTGGCGGGGAGTTTGGCATTGACTTCAAAGATGGGAGGGAGGGAGGGAGGGAGGGAGGGGGACCACGGAGGAAGAGGGTATCGCTCGGCCCAATTGTGCTGATAAATGAGATAAAATGTCAAGTTGGAAATACGAGCAGGCCGTCGGGCCTTTCGGGTGACAATTAAATCGCCACTTGGCGGTAATGAGCGTCGTAGAATAAAAGTTAAGGAGAGGTCCAAGGTGGATATTTTGATGGATTCAAACCAACACTTATCTGCAAAGTCCACCAAACGAGTTCAAAACGTTGCATTAGCAATGAGCACCATCTTAAGTATTAGCATCACCGTATACAGTCTGGCTCAAGGATCGCTACAAAACCAACAATTTCTTCCCGCGACTTAAAATGAGGACTCTCACCGAAATGTTCATTTCGGAATTCTTTTGGAATGCACCCTCCCCTCCCCACTCGCGGGCCTTTCTTCGGCGCCATCAAATGCAATTAGCTGCTCTTTCATGTGCGCTTTATGTAACGCAATACTTCATTAGCATCGTTCATTCATATGCAGCGCGGATTAGCAGCACCGGAGTTGTCATTGGATGACACGGAACCGTTCTGTTGCCGTTTTGAAAGAAAAAAAAAGGGGGGGGGGGTGGTGGTGATGGAATAATGAAAGGGGAGTTTGATTTCGGATGGAATTATCCGATGATTGTGCCATCATGTGATTCTCTTCATCCAATGATTCCAAGGCGAGCAGACTCTTACGAAGCAGCATACAAACGATCCAATGTGTCAAATCGGGGGCGGACAACATTTGGAAAATAAACATGTTTAAATGCCTATCCAGAGCCAATCGTCCCGTGGGACCAATTTTGGCAACAATTGCGTGTTGATATCAGAATTCAGTAGCAACCCTCGGCTATAATTTCCCGCTGTTTGTTGGCGAAATGACAGCGTCTGAGCGCGAGGGGCTCAATCATCCAGCCAACAGGTTGTTTTGGTGGTTATATCTATCACGGAGAAATGCCACCCGGCCCCTCGGCCCTCCACGCTCTTTTTGGGCCATTTAAATACACTTCCAAACTTGTCGTCCTCCCGCCAGAAGCAGGCGATTACATCTTCATCATCCGCGCTCCGTCACTCGACGATAGTTGCTCATCGCCGGCGTGTTTACGGAGCAATATGCACTCACTGGTTTGGGAGATGACTTGGGTTCGGAGGGCTGCATGTGCAAGTGGGTCATCATCGCCTGAAGACGCTCGCGTTCTTTCGAAAGCTGTTCAAGACAGAGAAGAAGAGGGAATGAAGTGAAGACGCGCGCGGGATGATGCGGGCAAAAAACAAACAGCGGCTGCGTCTTTTCGTCAACGCTGGAATTTAGGTCAGCGGAGGCCCTGACGGGTGACGAGGCAGCCGGGCGAATAATGAGGCGGGCTTCAAGTCCCCGTGGACACCGTTAAGGGGACGAAGGTGCAGCCTGCAGCTGGCAAGAGGTGAATGGGGTCCTTCGAAAATCATGGCGTGAGACCGACCCGCCTCCCTGGGTCCTGCTCGGGGCCCTGAGCCTTGGTGGGCAATCATCAATCTAAGCAATGTTGCAAAGAGTGACAGGGACCGTAGCTCGAGGAAGGCCTCATAAAAACACAAAAGCCGAGCACTCACATAAGAGAGAGAGAGACGATACTTATTCGTCGGAAAGTCATCGGTCACACACGCAAGACAACTAACAGCAAACGGTAATTCACCGTTCAGGGTGTCCCTCGCCTACCGCCCGAAGACGGCTGGGACAGGCTCCAGCAACAGGATGAAGCCGCTCGGATGATGGAGGAAAGGAAGGTGAGGTGAGAAGGAAATATGCCAGCGCGGGTTTCTTTACCTTGGCGGGAGATGAAGGAGCTCGCTAGCGAGCCGCGTAGCTTGTATCCTGCTTTCCCGGAGAGCAGAAACAAAGACAAGCCCGGAAGAAGAAGAAGAAGAAGAAGAAGAAGAAGAAGAAGAAGAAGAAGAAGAAGAAGAAGAAGAAGAAGAAGAAGAAGAAGAAGAAGAAGAAG